GTACGATCTGTCTATCGAAATCCCGTGCCCATTAAGAAAAACGAAACATCAAACAAAAAAAATTGCAAAAGGTGTACGGTGCAACACACAAAAAATTCTGTTATCTTGTATTTTCCATGTTTAACTGTCTCACTCACTTTTCACCATGTTCTGTATCCTAATCCACCTATCCCCTTTCACTGTCATTGTTGTTGCGTTGGCACCATGCTTGTTTTCAAGCCGGTGGTAAATATATATACCTTCCCACAACGATAATGGTTCATTTGACTTAAACAAAATACTTAGAGGGAGAAGGATCTTTAATAATGTTATTACTATTAGTAGCAGTGTTGTGAGGTACTACTCACATTTGTGAGTAGTAGGCAAAAGGATGCAGTTGGCGGTTTTCTTTCAACGGTCACAAATGAACAAGATTTCCTAGAGCAAATTGTTGTATTTGAAATGATAACTACGACCTGTGCGATTCATTATACTGTGTGCCGCCGGGAATTAGGATGAAATGTTTAAGATGAGGTCTCTTGTTGTGTGTGCGTCAAATTATCCTTATCCTAATTCTAATGTGCAATAGACAACTCTCCCCAAGCCAGCACCGGTCTTCTGGAATTATAACAGTAGGAATATACTCTCTTTATCGACGGGTACACCAACGTCTGTGACATGCCTGTCTGTATACACATCACCTTCCGTTTGATCAACGAGCACCTCGGGTTCACACCCAATTTGGTCCGGGATATACACGCTACGCTTCCATCTCTTTTCAGCATTCTGATTCGAGGCTAATGAAGTACACGTCTGCCTGTCCAAACAATGGTCTGACCAAAGCACCCAGTTCCGATCTGTTATTCTGGGCCCAACTTTTTCTCCCGGAATCCGTCGAACTAGATCCGAACAAATTGATCGATGGCACATTTCTCGGAGAAGTTTTTCAACAAATGTAAGTTCATGGGCCCGGTTGGGCAATCACAATGTCAACGTGTGTTTGCGATATGAATGTGGCCCACGATTGTTTTTTTTCATTCGCTGACCATGTGAACTTTTATTCAACACAATTGTTTGGTCCCTTGACCGTTAAATTTCTTCTTTGTTTTCACCGGTACAACTTTTGAAGCGTGATTTATCAGTTTTGACGAAAATTTGTGTGACACAACAACCGATAAAGAATAACTCATAAATACTGATCATCTTTTCAATTTATCTTTTTCAATTTACGATGTCCGAATATCAATTTAAGATGTCACAGTATGAATTTAAGATGTCCGAGTATCAACTCAAGATGTTATGTTGTTATGTGGATAGTGCCTTGCACAGAACAGAGTGAAAACGTTCGATGGAACCCCTGTTTACCCAGATCCATGTGCGTCCTACTTGCATACTGCTCTATGGCCCCCGAAAATTTCGTCCTACGCTCAACAANATGATTTTGTCTGCTTGTTTGCACGCACAAACTGGATAATGCACTCCACAATTCAGTCAGAGCTGTGCCACCATGCGCAAACCGACGAAGGCCTGGTTGAAAACGAAACAAAAAGGTTTGGTGGGATCTCTCATACGATGACCACATTTCTCACTTGACCAAGCAAATGAGCAATTGACTGAACAGTGCTCGTCACGAACGTTCATGGTCTCATGAATGAAGTGTTCTCGGTACAAAAGGGGTAATAGCGGACGACGTGAATTCAGGGTTGAATGTTTGCACAGCACTGAAAGAGACCGTGAATTAGGCTCGGCCGCATGACAACTGGGACAGCATCGATGCTGTCTTACGCAAAATGTACATGACTGTTATCATATACCACGGAAAGAGGGCACGACAAAATGTTTCGGGGTTGAGATATTTGTGTGTGTGTGTGTGTGTGTGTGTGTGTGTGTGTGTGTGCGGAGTGGTTAGTACGTTTCCCTGTGAGTCAGATGACTCATAGACACGGAAGGTTCTTGTGTCTGACCTTGACCGCATTCGATAAAACGCTCGGTTCTTTGATTCCAGCGATATTTGACATTTTCTACAGCTTCGGTTGCATTACAGTGGCTAGCCGTACTTCGAGAAAGCCTTACGCTGAAGAGACAAAGCGCCTTGTTTTGGTGGCTTATGAGAATGATTGCGATTGGGAAACCACCGCCGCTGCTCTGTTTGTGCATATACGAACAGCTTCCCACTGGATATTTGATAAACAACATAATTGTATAAAAGGGTGATATGGCGGATACAAGAAGAAGAGTTTATGGGAAGAAGAAATAAATCAGTTGGTTGAATGGGTCAGTGAGGACTGTACAGTCACCTTGGAGACATTGTGACTGAGGTTAAAGGCGGAATAGGGAAAAGAGGTCTGCTACACCACAGTCAGCAATTATTTGGACGGGCGACTCGTCACAATGAAGAAAATATATCCCCTCTCGGAGACTATGAATTCCGATGAAAACAAATTGCGAAGGGGCTCCTTTTGTCAGCAAATACAGTTATGTATTAATGAGGGAAAAAACATTGTATGGATCGATGAAAGTAAGTCAGTATACAAGTGCTAAGCATGAATCTTAGTAAATTTTAACCTCCTTTACAATAGAACACGTGGTCGATCCCTAATTATACACTGAAATGTGGATCCTTTACCAAGGAAGCCTATCAGGCTTGGTTACGTAGCGTTCTGGACAATCTTCCCGATAACCAAAGGAGAAACACTGCGGTCGTGTGCGATAACGCGCCGTGTCATACAGTTTTGGAAGTGTGATCATGGAACCAGAATACACCGGCGGTAGGCTCCTGAGGCTTGCGCCATATTCACCTGCACTGAACCCAATTGAAGGCGCATGGAGTGTGATCAAAAACAGAGTGAGACAAGGGATGCGTGGCCGTACAGCGTCAGCGCCATTGAAGCCGTGATGCACACACACACACACACATACGTACACAGTCGATGTTGCACTTTGACTCTGCCGAGTGCACGCACACCCTGATAAGGGAGTTGCACCATGCCGTGAAGAGAGAAGGCATCATAGCAACACTGCATGAATTATGCCCTAGACACACCGAAACATAGTGCATATGATGATGAGTTGTATTGTCAAAAGAATGATGCCTCTCTACAGGTTCTCCGTCAAGACCGTTACTGGCCGACCGATTGAGAATGGTCCATCACAAAAATACTGAAACCAGTTGTTTGCGCTATACGGGCAATATTATCTGTGACAAATTATTCCCAAACGTCCACAGAAACTTTGCATCTCGTTAATTTGTCTTAGACGAGTATTTCGTACCCTTTGGAGGTGAAATCAGACGACTGTCTGGCATTGTTGGACCCATTTCTACACCGATACTTAGGTGGTTCTATCAAGCGTCACTTTTAGAGAACACAAAACTTGAACCGTATAGTATACAGACTTTCATAGTTGGACACCGTGGCAACACAAGAAGAATTTAGTCAGCTGTATCGTGAATTGCACACTGGCGTCATGTGAAACAGATCCAAAGGATAAAGAACCACCCAAATTGCGAGAAACCTTTGCAGTTAATGGATGTCCAGAAGGCCTAATACAAAAGGGCGTGGGAACACCGTATATCGAATATAAAGTGAGCAGTGTTACGAGAAAAGTCTGGTCCATATGAATCCATCCTTTTTAGGGGTGACATTCTGGCGGAGATGATAACCGGAATCCTTAAAGCCGAGATCATGATGTATATACCATGTGACTGGGTAACAACCTCATCACAGATTAAAGACATAATAGCGGTGGTGACTACCTAATTTTCCATTTACCAATTCATGTGTTCTTGTGGTTCAATCCACATTTGTTGAACCACGGTATACCTCGGTCAATCACATCCGAAATCACTACTCCAGGTGACTTGGTAACAGACAAGATAGTATCGGAGCAACTGTGACCGCTGCGCATATAGCAACAATAAATCCCCCCCCCCCTCCCGGATCAGTCTGATCCAATCATTCCAACCTATCTATGCTATCACAACCGGTTGCAATGATTAGTGGTCAGAACTCGTCTACTATCTATCGCACGGGCTATCGCATTTAACTGAACAGCCCGCTTTGTGGGCTGAAAAATAGCAAGTTCGATCTCCCAAATTACCATGACCCACCGTCACTAACCCGGGACGTAAAAAGAACAACACCGAAAACCATTCGTTGATTGTTTGACTGTGATTTTCTAGTATGAACTCGAAGTTAAAATTCCATTCATTCTTCCATGAGTTGTTTTCCGTTCACTTGCTTATTTTAACTTTGACCTATAGAATTGTTTGAAGTGTGAATAGTTCAACAGCCTCGGTGAACTGTTCACCATTCAAACATAGAAATTAAATCTAAGAAAAAAGGGGTTTTGATCATTTTACTCTTCCAAGCTGTTTTCCCCTATTTCACATTTCACGGTTATTCAATGTTCACTTCGATCCACGATCCACAGGAGTGACTTTGACTGGGATGTAAGAATCTCTCACACGAGTCGTGTTACTGCAAAATAGTAATAAGCATCAACGAGAATCCGGGTTGAGATACGATCCAGTTTTTACTCCGTTCAATGATTAAGCTGATCGGAATCTGGTTTGGGGGCTAAAAGCAAATCACGTCTTTTAGTTAGAACAAGCCATTTCCTGTAATAAAATGGGTATGAATACGTCAGTTCACGTTGTCAATTTTTCAGATCGCTGTTTGACTGTAATGCAAAGTCATCGATACAATCGGATACAACTGATTTGCTAGTGATACAGTGAAGTTCTTGCTCCAACTGTCTACAGTTCTGTATGTTTGTAGATCAAATCGACGTATTTTTGACTGTGCTGTTCATTGTGAATACCTACACTGTCTAAACAAGTATGGCTACGCAAACAATGGTGATCGAAACATCAGTGACAACGGGGCCAATTAGTCAGACAAGCCATGTTTAAGTTGACTGATACTTACTTAATCCAGATAACTCAATCAAAACTTACAATTGGTAAAGTGTGGTGAAATAAATAATAAATACAAAACGTTCGCGCTTTCAGTCGTGTGATGCAAGTCCTAAGTGTGTACGCGATCATCTCCATTTCAGATTGGTGATAGGCTGCTTGACGGTAGTTTGACTCAATACCTCACTTATCGTTTCGGAGCCGGACGTCCCTTACCACTCCAGTTTCCGAAACATAAGTTACCGGTGCCCACTGTTTTAGTCATCTTGACCTTGGCATTCACTCGTGCCCATGCTCAACGCACAATATAGCGTTTAGTGAAAGTAAATAAACAATCCGTCGTTCACTCACTCTTTTGCAACAAATGACATGTGGGTCGATGTACGAGTTTGTCGAACTACGGAGGAAATGCCCGAAAACTTCCGCTTTGATGAAAATCTGCGTAATAGAGTTTTATTTGATAATCGTTGGTCCCGATGGTCCTTCATCCTTTTGAGATATTCACATCATTTTTGAACAATTCCTTAAAACCCTGCTCTATACCAGACTGTTGGAAACCAGTAACAAAGGTTCCCATTCCCAAATCTTCTACTTCAAACGTTTTAACCAAACGCTTTCGTCCTATTGCTTTAACCTCTGTTGGACTTAAGCTAGCAGAACGTGTTGTTCTTAAGCGCTTTCAGTCCTCCATTGATATCCCATATGATCCTCTTCATTTTGCTTATAAACCAAACAGAGGCACGCCAGATGCAGATTCGCATCTTTTATATACAATTATCAAATCCTTGAATGACTCTGAAAAATCTGTCCGTTNAGACAGTTATTAGCTTGGCTTGCCGATTACTTCACCGGGAGAACTCAGTGTACCAGGTTAGGTTGGAGGAAATCCAAACCGTTGTTGAACAAATCTGGAGTACTCCAGGGTGCAGTTG